GTATGATGGTATTTTTGTATTTCATTTCTCTTGAGGGAGAAAATCTAAATGTTTCAAATTTATATCAAGTTATAAGTTAGGCTCATTTTTTAATTGTTAGAGAAATCCTGTGTTTTTAAACTGTGTTAGTAGGAATTAAGATGATGGAATGTGTAACAGCTGTTGAAGGTTTGGTGTGGTAGGTGGATGGCTAAATAATTAGATTATGACAGAATAACCTGATGTTTTCCTATTAAAAGAACGGTTTCTTGTGACAGTAGCAGTTCAGTTTTACAGCTCCTTAGCTTGCTTTCTGGATGTTTTCAAAATCTAGGTAGCATTGACCTGATAGCTAACATGTCCTTAAAACCTGTTACATGGTACTTTTTTTTTTGTTTGTTTTTTGAGTATGTTTTTCCAATGAAAGTGAAATTAGTTTAAATTAGAAGAATCTATTTTAGCAAATTATTTGACTGTTAATAGAAAGTGATACTATGGAAAGTCCAGTTGTGTGTGGTTTGTTTTTTTTTTTTTAAGGTAAACTATTACAGTTTTGATTTTGTTGTGGTTTATGTTTTGGTTTCTTTGTTGTCTGAAGAGCTAAACTTTAACCACAATTGAAGTAATAAAGCTGACTTTCTAGTTTCTGATTTCCAGTTGTGCACCTTGGGCAAAACCCAGGAGAGTTAAGGAAGAGAAAATAGGGCACAAAAAGAGAAATAAGACTTACCAAGACTGAAAACATTCTAAATATTTTAAAAGATTACAGATTACGCTATTCATATACCTAACTAGTCCTGTAATTCTTATCTACTCTAATCCTGTGGGTTTTTGAAAAATGTCTATTCTGTGTCTTCAAGGGTGTGGTTTTTTTTTTTTTTCCCAATGCTCATCAGTGAGCAAGACTGATTTGTCATAAGACAGTGTTTAATAAAGCAGTTCTGCAACAGAGAGGCAGATGTTCATATGTTACATGGTAGCTAGTACTTTCAGACCATCCAAGTGGCTGTAAATGCCCAACCATTTGGACTCTGAAAAATTCCTGCCTTCGAATACAGGTGAGAATTGAAATATGTTTGGATGGATTGAGTGGGTTCTTGAACATAGAGACTTCCTGTTCCCAACTGTCTCCTGTGTGTCTGTCACCATAAAAATGGATCCAAATTTTGTAGTAGTTAACTTCCACAGAATAGAGAACATTTAGGTTTAAGAGTAGATGTACTGGAATTATGTACATCTCTCTGCCAAAGATAAGCTTTCGTCTATATTGAACTGGTGTCTTAGGAGAGACTTTTATAGTCATCTTGATTTTGAAGGTTGAATCAAAATAGGTGGCTCGATTATTTCATAAATACAGTTATTTTCAATAAAAAAGGAGGATTTTTTTTTTGTTTTGTTTTGTTATGAAGTGGTAGGGCCATACCTGCAGTAGAACCCTCTGGTGTCATAATCGCTGGTTGTGGAGTTTTATGTTCCCAAGTATTTTATTTTTACTATATTTCAGAATGCTTTTCAGACAATTTTCTTTTAAAGCGACTAGAAGTTCCAATTAGTTGTGCTTCTCAACATTTTTACATATTTATATTTTACATCTCAGCATATTACCATGGAGAAACTCCTGCAGAATTTAAAATGAAAATGTTCTTCTTTACTTAAAAATCCTTTTGATAATGTTCGTAGATGGAGATTAGGAAAGCTCTGGTCATTTCAGATTGCATGATGCACTCCAAGTAAATGAAATCTATTTTCAGTAGTGCTTGTAGTTCTCAGTTACTTGACTAGTCTCCAATTTATTGGGTTTTGTAATTCATTACATCTTTTCTCCTGCTTCTATAGGTTGCTTAAGGCTGTAGGTGCTGCATGATACTCAGTTCATATTTGCGTAACAGGAGAGAAAGCTTAGCACCTTTTGACTGTTGGGAACCAGGTATTGATGTGGAGGTGTCCTTTGTGGGCTGTGTTGAGATGGAGGCTTACAGTTGTGACAGACAGGGCTGTCTACCAGTGCCACAGCCTCCTCACACCCCACTGCGGCAAAACAGCTCTTCTAGGGCAACAGACCTCGGTCTTAGAAGCTGCTGGCAGAATCACTCTACACTGCTTCTCCTGGTACTTACTTCAAAACTAGCACTCCTCTGGGGAGTCCTTCAGTCGGTGGTGCTATATCTGATCTTTTGTAAGAGAACACATAGCGCTAAGTGCACAATAGTGCCTTTGTAAATAGCTGTTCATGGATTTGTTGCTGTAGTTGAAGTGATGGCTTAAAGCAGTTGCTGTCAGGGTGACCACATCACTACTGCTGTTAAAATTAATTCAGATTTAGCTGTTGGCATCTGAATTCGGGCTAGCTCAGCTTTAAATTGTTCATGCAGGCATAGCTTAATTGTATCTGTCATTCCCCTTCTGAAAATTTGAATGCTTTGTCATCCTTATTTTTCTTTGCAACACCCTTGTGAGATTGGTTTGTATTGTTGTCTGAATTTTTAAAAACGGGGAACTGAACCATGCTAAGATTATTTATTTATTCATTGACCAGATTCAAAGCTGAGAGCAAAACTCTGACAAAAATTTATACTGCAAGTATCTATCACTTATATTGGACCTATGCAGTGTAATTTAATTTTCTTATAATGAAGTTATTTCTTGTCATAAGTGGACATTCTATTTTATTTATTTTTTTGCTAAAATACGTGGTCATAATGCTATTATTATTACACTCCAGTTTTACTGTAAACATCTCTGCCAAGAAGCCTGTTGGGAGAGCTCTGGAATTCCTGTGTGGAACAGACTTACAAAGCTCCACCCAATGTACAACCTTTTTTCTGTAGAATAGATGGGCCTTGATTGTGATATTAAACTATTTTTGTGAAACTGTTCGTGCAAGAACTTTGGATATTTCACTGTATTGTGTTTTCATAGAAACCTGCTGAATGATGTTCAGATATTAGCAATGAAATAATAATACTACTAAATATGCTAATATTTCACATAATACTAATATTATTACACATTTTCTTTACCTTCCTCCTACAGAAAGGCATTGTACAACATAAAATTAAGCAACACTTAAAAGAAGCCATGACATATTCATACTATTTGTGGTATGAATCAATGTGGTAGTATTATCCAATCCAACTCAAAAAATATTTAAGAGAAGGATGGCAGGAAAGAAAGAGTGAAATATGAGCATGGCAAAGTAGTGGTAATTCTTTTAACTTTTGAAATCAGAGAGAATGGAGCAGCACCAAGAAGATTTTGATAGTGTAGGGCAGCTGTTGCTTCAGATCTGACTGAATTGGGCTACCCACATTTTATTTAGAATGTGATTAGTTGTCATTTGACAAATATGTATCTGCCTTCAGTTACTGGAGAAGTTGTTTCAAGATTTTGTTTCCTTCTCTCTCCCTATGCCTCTTCCTCTCTAAAGTGAGATGGGGCTAGGTAGGAGAGGAACAGGAAGAAAACAGGATGAAAGAGGGTCTTTTGGCTCTCCCTGTTTTGGGTGGATGAGTTTCTGAGTAGCAGCAGAATGAGGCAGGCCTGAGTCTATCAATTTTGTCTCCTGCTGTTTATGAAAACCATGAGCATCTGGAAAGGAGCAGAGGCGCTTTCTCTGTATGCTCAGGAAGATTTATTTGGTCTGGGTTTACAGTTGCAGAGTTGTGTTTGCCTGAGAACAGCAGTGGGTTTTTTAGTGGTTTGCATTTTGAAAAAAGACAGTATGACAATATCATCAAAAACCACCTCCCTTTTCTGATGGGTTGATTTAGTCTCTGATGCAGCAAATGGAAGGAATTTCACTGAGCTGCACATCTGCCACTGTTGGAGCATATCAGGTGTTTGAAAAATAGGCCACTTAAGTTCATATCCAATTCACATTCAGTACCTTCTTACCTCTTGTTCCCTGACTAGACTTGTTAATGGTTATTCACCTTTCTTTACTTAGTTACCAACTTCTGATTCATGATTTTTATTTTTTTTTTTTTTTAACCAATTGCTACTGTTGAGAATTCTTTCAAAATACTTAATTTTACCTCAGTTTTGGAAAAGAAAAAAGAGCGGTGGGGAACAAACCCCTCAGAATATTTTCTCCCAAGACTAGTATTATACCCCAAATTAAGTCTAAGGTATGTTCTTGAGGTTCTTGTCTTCGCACAAAATAGAAAATGGCATTGGTCATAGTGTTGCTGAATTTTTGCCTGCATAGTGTGTTTAAGATTATTTACATGCATCTCTCCTAAGAGCACATTGTATAAATTTGTAAATGTATCATATGCTGTAAGTATCTTCTATGTTGATTTGGTTGCAGCTGTCTTTTGGCCATTCACAGTTGGTGCCAGACTATTTTTTGTAGTACTGCCCTCCTCCCCCTTTTGTGAGTTTCATTAAACAATTGGACCAAGCAAGCTTCTTAAGAGGGTTTTGTAGTCAGAATGTTTGGAGGCAGGCTTGAAGCCAGTTAATGGAAATAGTATTTCTCTTTCCTGCTGTTCTCTTTGTCCTTCAAATGTTTTTCCTCTTTAGCTTACTGCTGGTTAGGGGCAAAAGAAATTTCCTTGGCCTGTCCTGAGTAAAATGGAAATGTAAGTAGCCATTGATATGGTTAGAAAATAATTATTTAAATTCTTATTATGTCACCTTTCCAGAAGATACTGTGAAGATCAACAGCAGGATTCAGCTCTCCCTTGTGTCCGTCTCTGCCAGTGGAAGTGTTAATAATAGCATGAAAATAGAGGTTAACACTTAAAGAAAAATGCTTCCTTCTTTACCATAGTCTTTCTGTGTTGTAATTTCTTGCCAACCTCATAGTTCCTTTGTTGGACTGACAAAAACAGTAGTTGGCTTATTGGTTTTAAATGTCTGTGCATTAATGCATTTCCAGATTAGACATAGTTAGTATTCCTCCTCTTCTAAACTAAATTGTTGTTTTTTTTTTCTTCTCCGTTCCCACTTCTCCAATCTTTCTTCCACTTTCATCCCTTCCCTGCCCCAATTTTCCCTCTAAAAACACCCTTAGGAATGATTTGCTGATGGTGTGCCGCCAGCTGAATATGGAGGAGTCTGTCGCAGAGATCATGCACCAGCTGGGAGCAGATGAAAATGGAAAAATTTCCTTCCAGGATTTTAGTCAGTGCCGCATGGAACTGGTACGAGAAATCAGGAAGGAGGAAGTGGAGCTTTCTGTGATATCGGATGACTCTTGTAAAAAGAAAAAGTTAAGGGATAGGATAGCTTCCTGGCCAACTAGCAGCAATAACAGTTTTGGTAGGTATGACTTTTAAATGTTGCGTTGCTGTAATGTAACAAAGGATAAACTCCAGGGGTTTTGTTACCAATTTTACTGGCATCAGGATTTTTCCTAAAGGGCTTTGTGACTACCCCGTGGCATAATTTCATCATATATTGGAGTGCTGTTGTAACTGATGCAGTCTGGTCATTGGTATATAGACTAGAATGTGTGCAGAACATCCTCTTTTAAAAACCCTAGTTGCGCAGGACAACCATCTTTCTTGAAAGGACAAGAGCTGTGGAGCTCAGCTGGTAACTGAAGATCCAGTGGGCTCTTTGTTGTCTGTAAAGCCCAGACAGGTAGGTAGGTAGAAATATTAAAAATGAGGAGAGAAATAATCTTAGTCTTTTGTCTTTCAGATGTAATATATTGTAGGAACGTGGATGTTTCTTGGATGCTTTAAAGATTGTTCCACTTAGTTGGGGATCTGAGTGTGGGAAGTGCCTTGTGATTTAGAGAATAAAAAATTTCTCCTTTCCTTTTGGCCTCCCTCCACCCAGGACAAAAAAAAACCCATCACATTTACTTTATTTCAAAATAGTTGATGTTACATGGGATTTCTGATTTAGCATAGTGGTACAAAACATACTGAAAACACAAAACAAATGTAAGTTACACATAGCAGGATATAGCAATTGTAATACACAGTTCAATCACAATACCAATGTGATTCCTGTTACCAGCCTCTCTCATATGGTCACCATCATGACACTAGGCATCCCCACCCTTGCTGGGAAGACACATGTGGGTTAAAGCCAGCTCAAGCCCATTGCTCCCTTTGAAATTCTTTTGTTAGTTGTTCACATTTTTATAGTCTTTATGTTGGGCTGAGCCACGTATACACCTCCCATTTGTTGGCCTGGCTAACTCAGGCAGACAGTCACACTCTTAATGAACATAGGGAGAAACCTTTACACCACCAGCTGATCCATTCAGCTCTTCATAGCTGTTTATCTAAAACAAAGACCACCCTGGGTCCCTTTGGTGTTGAGATCAAGTCAGCTTCTTTGCAATAGCTGTGATCAGTAAAACCCTGCATTATTCCCTGAGCTTCATGGGCATGTCACCCTGCCCTGTCTCCTCTGAGCCTTCTTCCACGGTATGGGTTTACTGGTCAGTCACACCTGTCTTTATTTTTTCAGTAGTCAGTCTCCTACAATACAAAACTGGGCATGTGTTGGTTTCGGGTTTCTTTTGATGTTTGGGGGTGGTTATTTATTTATTTTGGTGGAGTGGGTGTAGCATGTCGTTCTGTATTCTAAGTAACTGCACATGTTTTTGGGTGGTCATCTCAGGCATTCAAATTTTCCTTGTTTGCTTTGTATCCTTTGTGGATTCCATATCTTCCTGCTTTTTAGGTTGATTGCACTTCTCCCTCGCCATCCCATCATCTCATGCTCATTGGCTTTTCTTTTTGTCTTCTCAACGTAGCAAGTCTGTTTCATAGCTCTGTTTATTCCCCATCTCATCTCTTCTCTTTTACTGTCTTCATAGTCATATTCTGTCATAGACATATTTTGTTGTTGTTAACAGTTCCTCTGTTTACCCTTCTTCCATATATATTCTTGAATTGCAAGATGATTAACTCTGTAGTTTCTATGCCCATTTCTCCATCACAGTCTATATTGAATCTTCATAATCCTTGGGTTGAATTGCATTTCCAGCCCGTTAATCTGTTGCAGGAGCTGTATCAGACAACACTTCAAAACCAAGATTGTGCCTAATACTCTTTTTTAATTGGATTAAGGATGGTGTGTATTCCCTAGCTCATAATCTTCTGCCTCTGTTGGCTGTTTTTTCAGTGTTGCCAGTGTTGTATTTTCCCCCAAAGCAGAAAACTTCTGCCCTCAGACTGCTATACAAAGTTTCCCTGTTCGCTGACCAGATTTCTGGCAACTTGGGCTTTAAAATCTTCTTTCTTAGACAAACCATACTTATAGTTTGTAATAATCAAGGGTAAAAGATAGGTAGGTCCTAAGCTTTACCAGAGAAAGGTCTCTCTTACAGTCTCAAAATGTATCCCACAAAGAATTCTTATTAATTGCTGCCAAAAAATAGTCACAGATGAACATTCAAATTTGTTAAGGTATGCAATTCAATCCCTACTCTTTTTTTCTATTTTCCATTTTGTGTTAGTTGTGCGAGAGTAATTTAATGCATTTTTAAAGCTGGTGAGTGAATTCATACTTCTTTTCGTAATTTTTTTTTTTTTTCAAAAGTTAAGTCCAGAAGACCTTTGAATTTCCTGCCTTGGTATATATCGCTCTGTGCCGATGAAGCCTGACTGTTTTACTGTACTGTGTTTTTAAACCTATAGGGAATTAATGGGGTTTGTACTTGTCCTACCTCAACTCTTGCAGATTCTGTAAGACTTTTTAATAATTAGAGAACACATGGAGAAGCTCCCCCATGTAAACAAAAAGCAGAATGGGAGGAAATAATAATAATCAGCATTTAGAATGCAACTGTTTTTTATTTGGTTGTAAAAGAAAACCATTGTGGCAGCCCTGTTCAAGATGTTCTACAGACCTTTCTTTTAAAGAGGCAAGGAAACACCGCTGTAATATATTTCTGTGATATAAACACTGCACAGGGTGAACATAATGAGAGCTGAGGAGTTACACTTGCAATCAAGCTTGAATTGTGATCTGCATATACCTCCATGCCTTTCATGTCTTTGAGGGCTCACATATTTACTCATTAGTGATCAAAGAGTCAGTTGTGTTATACTGACTGTAGGCTATTGCTCTCTAAACATTGTTTAAGATGGGAGACATCATCATGTGCAAATTCAAATGTATAAACTTGGTGAATGTTCTTTTTCTTGTGTATCTTTCTTTTATTTTGGACAAGGAACACTTTTTAATAAATGTTATTTTCAAAGCTGGTTTACAGGGCTTTTCTCAAGACTAATTTCTACATAATGTGTCAGTTGCTGATAATCCTTGAAAGCTGTTACCATGTATCCATGTGGGGTGCATAAATTACAAAATTTCAAAATTCATTTGACTGCCACTGAGTAGCAGAGGTCCAGGTGATCTGAAGAAAAGGAATCCAGCCTCTGTCATGGACCTTTTCACACTGTGAGCTTGTGTGTAATTGTGCAGAGATTAATAGTCATACAGCATTTTGTGCAGGCTTTTCTTGTAGCTGTTCACAATTTCTTATCAAAGAGTGCAAAAACGTATGCGTATATCTAAATAAAAGGTTATATTTGCTACCTATAATTTTTGCATTTCATTATAAAGAAAATAACTGGCAAAAAAGGTCCTAAGAAATAATTACATCTACATGACTATTGAACTTTGCCTCACCCATCATTTTTTATCACTGATAAGGTTATTCTAATAATTTTGCCCAACTTTGCCCAACAAATGTTTCTACTCCCGTGTTTCCAGGTGGGATGCAAGAAGTAAGGAAACTGGTTGACTGGTTTAGTCAAGGTACAGGACTCAGGTTTATTAATACCCAGTCATATATGTGCTCAGTAAGCCAGAGCTGCATCTGTACCTGCCATCTTGACAATCAAATCAGTGTATAGATTTAAAAGGTCAATCTTTTATTCAAATGCATGAAAGAGGACATTTTTCCATTTATTAGAATGATGCTTTTTGCTGCTTGGATATCTGCAACTCAAGGCTATTACAATGTATTGTAGTTCTTACTCTACACTATTAATGTCAATGGGAGCTTTAACAGTGATTTCCAAGTAATAACCAGTAATTTTTCTACAATTGAAATGGAATGTGAACTGTGTTAATATTCTTCTGACGTTGTTTAAAATCTAATAAAAATGAATAAACTTTTGAAAGTGTTTCTGGAGTCTTGCAATGACCATATGCTACCTGACTCTTTAATACATCATTTCAGTAGGAAACACAGGAAGAATGTCAGTTACTGATCAGAAATTTGGGTCCTATTTCCAGTTTTGGAGACTGAAAGCCATGATGGGTACAATAAATCTGTGTGAATCATCTAGTGACTGATGGAAGTGGATTGCTTGGCAAATGAGAGCCTATAAAACAGCAGAACTACACCTCTAATGATTTATGGCAGGAAGTTGCCTGAACAGTTGTGGCTTCTGTCATGTTTTTCAGTGTTATATAGTTTTATATGTCTTATGTAAAAGCTAGAATTAGAATTATTTCTATTTTATGTGGTATAGATTTGTCTAGCTCTTTACAGGTAATTAGCAAATTGCCATTTTTTCCCATGATAAAGAATAGTCTATTTCTACTACTCATTGGTTTTGAGGATGAACAAGAAATGGTACTGCTTATTAGTAAATTCTTTCTTTAGACAGGTGAATGGCTTCCTGTGCCACTGAAAGCTGTATGTACTTACTGATCTGATTTCATATTCTAGACGATTAGTTATGAGTGCCAGAGTCCATAAGCAATCTTTGGCTGTAGGTTAGTAGTTAGTAATTAATTCATAGCCAACTCCCCTGTTCTCTTTACTGAAAATAAGTCCCTTGAAAACTTGGTATGATAATTTATTTGCATTGTGGATCAAGCATGAGAATTAATGAAAGGAATGGTAGAAATTCAGCCTCAAATTAAGCTTATGGATAAACATGAGAGACAGGCCAGTTGGGGCTGAAAAATCATTACTTCTGCTTTGCATTAATTCCATGTTTGATCTTACTGCAAATAAATTGCTTTCAAGAAACTGATGCAGTGATTACATTTATTTATGCTATATTTAATTAATGGACTTGAAGGCATGCTGGAGATTTTCTTGAGATTTATGAGCAAAGTTTCACCTTACATTTGTTTGACTAGAAAAGCTGTGAATACCTGCTGGCACAAATATAACTACATGTGAACTTATATTAAGTGTAAGTGGTTCAGTTTATTACTTTTAAATATTTTTTTGATACTGCTATCTTTATACAAAGCAGCAGAATATAGGTGATTTTTTTTTTAAGAAATGTAGAGTGCTAAGGTGTATGAGCAGCAGAACAAATGAACCT